CCGCAAGCGTGTGCGCCTGTTTGACAAGCTGTTGCCGCAGGGGTTCTTCGCCGCCGCCTCCCCTCGGCGCTGCCTTTGCGGTCACCTCCTCTGCCTTCCCAGCGCTTTCGGCAGTCGCCTTCGCAGCCAATTGCGCACGCTCGACCAAAAGGCCCACCTGCTCTGCTTCAGCGGCCAGGGTAGATGGTGTCGGACCGGAAGGCGGGCTCCGTCCTGCCTTGGTAGCAGCACCGCTACTGGCATCTCCTTGCCCCTTGTCGTCTGCAACTGCAGACTGCTGAGAAGCCTGCTCACCTCCTTCGCCAGCTGCTTGACGCTCTCCTCGGTTCAGTAGTTGCTCTGCGTGCGCGGTTTCAGTGGCGCCACCAGTGTCCTCCGATGACTGCTCCTCCCCAGTCTCTGCGACGCCATCATCTGCGACGGGCTGCTCCACCTCTCCAACTTTTGCCACCCCAGTTGCCGCCGGCGCCGTCGTGGTCGCGCGGTGCTTTTCCTGTAGGAGAAGTTTTGCGCCTGTTGTCCGGGTCTCTCCGGAGTTTGTTTCGCTACCTCCTGGCCCCCACCTCGCAGAAGCACCCTGGCCCCTCTCCGTGCCTTCGACCGATGCAGGCCCACTCACGCCACCACCGCCAGCAGAATCACCGCCAGCCGCCTTCCCTTGCGCAGTCGCTGGCATTGTACCAGATGCACCCAGTCTGCCATCACCTGGGGCCGGTGTCAGTGGAAGTCGTGCACCCTCAGCGGGTGCTCCCGCTCCGGCTCTAATCCCTAGGCCATCACCACTCCCCGCGCCACTTACATGCGGCGGCGAGGCCGCTTTTTCTCCTGGTTGGGTTTGCTGCCCTTTCTCGCGTGCTGGCTGAGGCTTGCCGACCGTCGTGGCCGCATGTCGAAGACCTGAAGCTGCCAAGACCGGCGCACCCCCTTTACGTCCCACAGTGCTGCTGGCAAGCTCTCCCGCGGAAGGCTGTCCTCGGTCCTCGGCGTCAGCGGTACTCCCTCCTGCTTTCGAGGTTTCTCCTGATTCTTGTGCGCCTGCAGGTGCTGCAGCTTGAGGCACGACACCTTCTGGAGGAGAAGCGGGCGGAAGGCCGCCGCCCTTCTCTTCCCCGCCTTCAGCCTTTTGCGCCGGGGATTGTGCTAAGGTGCCCCCGCCGCCGGTGGCTACTGAGTCTTCAGACGGCTGCGCCGCGTCTCCATTTGCTGCGCCACTGCCGTCACCGCCTGCGGTATGGTATTTCCCACTGCTATCGCCTGCGGCCTTCGCGTGCTTACTGGCCTCCCTTCTCGCCTTCTCTTTCGCATCCTCCAGAAAGCCTGTAATTTTTGCACTTGCCTCAGAGATAGCTGCTGCCAGCTTCTCTACGTCTGCGGCAGCGTCTCTGAGTATTTTCGTCGGGTCTAGGGTGTCTGCAGCTGAGCTCGAGGATGCAGGACTGGATGAGCCGCCCTTTTCTGCGGTATTTTGTAGCGTCTCCTCGATGTCTCCGACGGCCTGTCGAGCAGCCTGGGCCTGCTCCTCAAGCTCCTCTGCCGCTTGGCTGTCTTCATCAAGCGGCCTGGCTTTCTCCAACGCTTCAGCCGCCTTTTGATAAGCATCCTCAGCAGGGCGCCAGTGCTCGTCAAAAATTCCCACTAGACCGATAGCAACCTCGGCTCGAGCCGCGGTGTCCGCCGCAACCCGCTGCTTCAGCTCCGCTTTCGCCGCTGCAGTCTCTGCAAAGTGGACTGCAGAGGCCGCGGCGTCACGCGTTTCCGCACGAGTGCGCGCTTCCTCTACTTCGACGAGCTTCGCTGCAGTGTTCGCGGCCGTCCGCGCAGCATCCGCAAGCGTGTGCGCCTGTTTGACAAGCTGTTGCCGCAGGGGTTCTTCGCCGCCGCCTCCCCTCGGCGCTGCCTTTGCGGTCACCTCCTCTGCC